TGTAAGATTAACCACTCCCCTTTTTTTTTGTTACAAAACTTCTACCTTTACAATTGTGACAGTCGCGATTAGTCTTGATAACAGTTATTCACTATTGAATCTAACAAATCTTAACCCCATCTCCTTTCACCAGACCCATCTAGACAAGATGATAACTATTTAATGGGGACTCTTTCTTTCCCCCGACACTCTTAACTAAGCTGCCTCTTGAAACCTTGTAAGCCAGTCACTTCGTGCCTGTATTGTCTCCTCATTTTAGATAGCCAATGTCTAAGTTGCCCATCCCTATCTATCCTGTGCACAGAGCGGATAGCATTGAAACTTGATTTGAAGACTCTTTCCCTCTCTGTTGGTATTTAGAGTAACTACTGCTCTGAGTATAGGTCAGGTTCATCATGAAGATGTTATCTTTTGTCACTGTAGCTGTTCCAGTCTGCTTGTCCTTTCTAGTGGAAATGTCTCAACTCACAAGCTTGTGGATGGGACTCAGGATTCCACCTAAGGTCCTATACTCTGTAAAGGCTTTGCACAAGGCATATTTCACTGGACAAGTTGTAGAACCCCTTTGAGGTATTCCAATCAGTTATAGGCTGAAGACGGGCTTACAAGTTTTCTCTAATCATGTTTCCCAACATTCCTGTCTATCCCACTCAAGTGTCTATTTTACAGTAGTAGGCAAGGGAAACTAATATTCATAAGACAGTCAAGAATTTTAGTATTATTTACCCTCTTCAAGCTATACTTAGATCCCTGTATCCCAGAGCCCCGTTGTTCCAAGGTTGAGTATGCATCACTATTTATCTCTGTCCTACTAAGCCATGCAAACCTGTCTCAGTGTTCCCCTATCTTGTTCTATCTCCCCCGCCACTTCTTATATTGCCCTCCCTAACACACAAAATAAACCCTCTACCCCAACCCCAAATCCATTGTGGTTACCTTATATTACATTAGTTCTTCCCTCCATTTAAGATAGTCTATTTTATCTAGTAATCTACCTGACCTTCCCACCACCTGGATCTCTTCTGTTCTTCTGTGTTTACCTTTTTTCACATTGTATTTGTTTTGATCATAGACTGACCTCCCAGATCCTCTGTTCTTATAATTTTATTCTGTTCTTGACTTTTTCATTTGTTGACTGAGTGCAGGTTGATGCTGCTATGTATGTCATTCTGTAGTTGTTATGTGTTCTTGCTGGTTCTCAGTCCACAGAACTTCCTTTAGGATGTTTTTCATAGCAGGGTTGGCTTTGGCAAAATCCCTTAGCTTCTGTCTATCTTGCAATGTTTTGATTACACCATC